TTTTGGTTAGCAGCCTGAGCTCTTAACCACTGCACCACCATTTAAGTTTAAATTAATTAAAATTAAATAAAATTCAAAATTCAGTTCTCAGTCATACTAGCTGAATTACAAGTGCTCAGGACTCGCAGCACAAATATAGAACGTTTCCATCATCTGTTGGACGGTGCTGGCATAGACAATATGAGGACACCACCGAGGATATAACTAATGCACAGATACAACTAGATCTTTTTTGTTAGATTCAAAATGCGTAAGCAGGTTGTTGGTACGCTCAAAGCCCAACTTCAGAAGGCTTATCCAGTGTTGCAGTGTTTCTGTAGAGAAGCTCTAGGCATATCTTCTTAAATTCAAAAACTGGGAATTAGCAAAATTTCCTCCTGAGGAAAAAACAAAACCCAAACCAAATATCATCTGGTAACTTAACACCAAAGTTTAAGCCACTATAATATGGGCAATTAAAATTAGTCTTTTATTTGGATCTTTAAAGTTCTTATTAATTTTAAATTTAGTTACCCCTTCCCCCACCAGTGTGTTGACATCATCTTTCCTGTATTGCGAATAGCTAATGACCATTTTTCTCTGTTGCAGGTGAATGCACAATATTTGCAGCTGTTCGTGATTTAATGGCTAATCTTACACTGCCCCCTGGTGGGCGTCCATAAACACTATTGTTTTTAAACCAGGAAGGCTGACAAATGAAACAAAACAAGAAAAAATATATATATATGAACTCAGCCTTCAGTTTAAAAAAGAAAAAGGACTTTTTGACTTTAAGAGCTAAAAATTCTAAACTGGCAAAAAATTTCAGGGTGCACTTCTTTCATCAAAAAGACCATCAATTTTTTGTATAGTTAACTTGTATAGTGTGTTTAAATGGGACACATTTCCAACTAGGTAATACATCAGTGTCCACTTGCCAGTAATAGATTTAATATTCTGTTTTATACTATAAAGTTATGAAAATGCCAAACTTGTTTATTTAATTGTTTTCTTATGTTTTGGGTGTAATAGTCCTTGTTTTTTGGGTTTTTTTTAAGGCAGGTCTGTCATTTTTGAATACTGTAAAACTGTGATAAACTTTATATTGAAGCTGTATTTTAATATGACCGCTTTGAATCCTTACATGAAAAAATGTTTTGGGAGTTGTTATAAACAGATCCCAAAGAAGCAATATTTAATAAAACTAGGTTAAAATAAAAAAAGAAAAAAATGACACTCACTTGTGTGTGTATAAGCTCTATAGACTTTTCAGGGCCTCCCTTCATCTTTAACCTGGTGGGGCCAATAATTAATTTCTAACAATGTCTGAAATTTGACCAAAAACATCTGCTCCTTTATTTCAAGGTTATTTTCTAACCTGACTGTCTGGTGGTTGACATTTAGCACCTTGGTGGTCTTTTCAGTGTAGGATTTGGGTGAAAAGGAAAGAGTCTGGTCTTTGAAAAGAGACAGTAAGTGGTTCCTATTGATCAAGGATCCCAAATAATGCAATCATTCTCATCTGTTGAGGGTGTGGGAACTTTCCTGTTGGGCAGATTTTGTTTATAAGATACTTCTGCCTACAGCATTAATTAGGAAACAGAGAACTTTAATGCTCTACCCTTGCATGAAATTTCTGTTATGTTTCCTTATCTTGCTTAACTTCTCCCCCTCATTCCCCCCACCAAAATTGGGGTTGTTCTAAACAATCCCAATTTAATTCATTGTCAACAAAAAGAGAATGTTTTGCTTGGAAAAGACCTGGTCCAGTCCCCTCATTTTGAAGACTCCAAAATCCAGCGCCTACTCTGTGCATGTCAAGGGTCAAATGGAGTTTCTGGTACTGACACATCTCGGCAGGATTTCTTTTTGGAGCATGGTGCTGTTTCTCCCAGCTAGTAAGAGACTTTTTAAGCTTCAGAGAACATGATCCAAAGCAAAGGTCTTCTGGGGATTTGATGTTGTTGGGAAAGTTTTAAAAATGATACTACCGTGCTGAGTTATCTGGTTGCTGTAATACTGGTTCTCCATTGAATTTTAGATGCTTTGTCTAATTCCACTTTAAGACAATTTAATTGAGCTTCTGTAACTATTAACTACGAAATTCTAGTTATCAAGCATCTCACTGCAGCTATATCATGTCTCTTCTGAACCTTGCTTGATTCTCCATTCATTTTCGGTCAGAGTTGAGGCCTTCTTTGCCTTTCTTCTGTGTCTTATTTCTGCCTTCATCTGTTTCTGAGCCAACTCTGCCACTATTCAGGAGCAGGTGACTAAACTTTTATCCTTCCTTTAACTTACCTTGTGTCCTTCTGTTTTCAGCTCTCCTTACAATGGTAATAACATCAGTTTGGCAATCTAAGATGTCTTTTTCAAGGATCAGCCCTTTTCTATTTGGTGTTGAATCCTTTCTTTCATGTAGAAATCTACATATATATACAAGAAGTATATTTTTACCTGCAGGATAATATTGTTTCACATAATTTTATTAATAGAGCTAACTTTTCAGATATTTTCCCTTTTAAGTGTGGTTTTGAAATGTTAATTGCATTTTTAAACATGATGCATTCAATGGATACTGTTTCCCCCTAATTATAATTCATCTCTGAATGCATTGTGAAAATCAAAAGATAGAATTCAGTGAACAGAATTTGCTTTTGGTGCTTATTAAAAGTAAACTCATAAATTTGAATTCTGATATTATGCTTGGTACTTGGAATTGGTACATACCTTATTAAAGCTTGAAAACATTTAGCATTTGAATCTTAGGTTTCATCATAAAACCATGCCTTTTGCCTCTTCCATTATCCAGGTTCAACCAAAGGAGTTGGATGCCCATAGTAATTTTTCCTAATAGGTAGTTGGGGCCTTAACTTTAAGGTGTTTTCAATGTGATTTTAGTACTATCAGTAATAAATAAAATTTATCAGTAATAAAATTTATACAAGTTTCAGAGAACTACCAACTCTCTTAATTTTGATGCTTTGGATAATAGTCTGGTTTAGTACTAGTTTAACCTTGAAACAGGAAATTGGTCCTGATTTGCCACCTTTTTTCCTCATCTTAAAAGCTGTTTCAGATTGTATAGAAGTACTTTCAGAATTAGCAGAGAGGAAGAAGGTGAGAACTTAAACAGAACGTATCAATTGGAGGCTTTTAATAACGGGCTGAACCTTACGTTTGAAAATTTTGAGTGAGCTAAGTGCAGGGATAAACTAAAACACATAATTTGCATTTATATGTCTACTCGCAACTTTACTATGTTGCAGTTAATCCAGTAACCTGTTCAGCCACAGGATACTAACAATCTTTTAGTCATTCTTCGGACCATGGTTAATTTGATAACTTCAAGAAGTATAATGTTGCTATTCTGAATTCTGATCCAATTTCAACATAAAAATCTGTTCATTTCTTTCATGATTTTTTTTCCTCCAAAAAAATACCTGTTACATTTTACTTTAGTATTTATCATCCAGGTGTTATTGGTATAAAATCAGTATATAGAAAATTTTAAGAGAACTTACAGTCAGAATTTAAAGAATGGAAAGGAAAAAATTCAGGGTACATTTGTTTCTTGTGGAATTTTCATTTTATTTGGTTTTATGGGAATGGACAGTATGTCTAAGGGAATGCTTTGAGGTTTACTTAAGAGGAGTTTCGTACTGAAGTTATTAAGAAGAAATAAGCTGAGGCCAGTCAGCACTGTGCTGCCTAACTCCAGGAGCACCATGATCTGTAGTACTTGCTGACAATGTTCTATAAATTGCCTCGACTTCCAAGTGGCCAGCAATTTGTTAAAATACCTTGCCTAGGAACATAACTGATTGATTATATTTAGGTCAATAGAAAATAATAGCTTTACTGAGTGCTTACTATGCCAGGCACTAAGTATTTCAATGTGTATTTAATCCTCACAGCAAGCCTATGAGCTAGGCATTAATATCCTCCCCTGTACAGATGAATAAACTGAGGCCCAGAGAAGTGAAGGAAGTAGATGCTTAAAATCAAGCAGAGCTAAGAAAAACTTCTTCAGCAGGTTTTAGATCAAATAAAGCTAAGAAGTGTGAGTCCAGAACTAGTGCTCTTACCCACTGTGTGACTTTGCTGTGAACCAAGCAGTTGGGAAGGCAAGCCCTCCAGACTCTTCCCTCAGAGCCTTTTGACTACATCCTAACATGTTTTTCAAGCTCAGGAGGCTCACTAAAAGCAACTAAAACTGAGATGGCCTCTTGACAGTTGGAGTTGATAATCCATTGCTTTATTACCCCTGTGGCACTTACCTGGAATTTAGACTTTGCACCATCTTCTAAGACTAGAAGCACTAATTATCGTGTAACCTGAGTATTATATAATTACCATCTAACCTTTGCTCAGGACCATAGTGGAAGAAGCCCTTATCTGGCTGGGCTATGCAGCCCTACAGAATCGAGGTGATGCGTTGACCTGTTTGCCCCTGCTAGATGGATGGCGGAAGTTTTTGATCTTTGTATCAGCTTGGCAGCCTGCAGCCGCATAATAGGTATACGGTACAGGCAGCCTGTGGTCACGTTTCACTAATGCCCCGATTTTATACAGCTAATCTGTGGGTTTAGAAACCAGTTAACTAAAATCTCTAGAATGTGTGATGCAAGGTACGTACGTAATTCAATATATATGCCTTGAGCTTCTACGTCACTAGAACAACGAAAACAGGATCCCGGACATCAAGAGAGGGTGTCGAATTGGGGGCTGGCGGGGTCTCAGTTGGGGACAGAAAAGAGAGCATAAGGGTTTCAGATAGAGGCTACCTCGGTACTTAAGCGGCTGCTGTCACGTAAGATTGGGGACGCGCTGACGCACCCGGAAAGCCAAATCATCCCGCCCCCGCGCCCGGCGTCAGTGGCAAAGCGCGGCTTTCTCTGCCTCTCCCGTGCCCACGTGGCCACACGTTGGGGCGGTCTCTGGGCGGGGCCGCGCCGCCGCAGAAACTCCGTTCCCAGGGACCGGGGCCTGCGCACTGCCGCCCGCCCAGCCCCGTGGCTTCCGGGACCCGAATGGGATATGGTGCTGTCTGAGCTGGCGGCGCGCCTCAACTGCGCTGAATACAAGAACTGGGTGAAGGCGGGCCACTGCCTGCTGCTGCTGCGCGGCAGCCTGCAAGGCTTTGTCGGCCGCGAGGTGCTCTCCTTCCACCGCAGCCTGCTCGCCGCCGCCCCCGGCCTGGGCCCCCGCGCCTCCTGCCGCGGCGGCTCCCGGTGCAGCCCGCGTGCCCGCCAGGTGAGTACCTGGCCTGGGACCTGCACACCCTATCCCCGCCCCGAGCGCAGCTTCCGAGTCCCTTCGCGGGGCTGGGCCGTCCGCGACGCCCGGGGATCTGAGGCCCCCGAAGCTGCCCCTCCCTCCGTCTCGGGCCCCTCCTCACCACCGCCCCCTGTAGTTTCAGCCTCAGTGTCAGGTGTGTGCAGAATGGAAAAGGGAGATTTTGAGCCATCACACCAACAGAAATGGAGACGTCCACTGGGGAAACTGCCGGCCGGGACTCTGGCCCGTCGACGCCTGGGAAGTGGCCAAGGTAAGCAAGCACCTGTGGCGGGGAGGGAAGGAGGCGGCGGGTGGTAACCTGGTGCCCAGGAGCGTGGTGAGGTCGTGCCGAAGCTGGGGCCTCACAAAGAGGTGTAGGTCCAGGGAGACTGCAGATTTTGTTTGACCCACTAGGTTTTTAAGTTTTTCATTTCGGGTGTCTCAGTGGTTCGGAGATTATATTGGACCCAACCCACCGTTGGATTTGACCTGTCTGTTAGCTGAAGGCATTTGGGTCTGCTACCGCTGCTTGGAAAGTTATAGGAAGGATTTCAACAAGAGATGCTAGCTAGAGCGATCGTGGGAGCATAAACAGAGAAGAAGAAAACTGTAAGGCGTGTTTGAGGACTCACTCAATAGCTTATTTTGGCTGGCATATAGGGTGCCATGAGGATGGTGGAGGAAGACAAGGGAAGTTAGGGCTAAAATAAGAAAGACCTTAAGTGCCCAACGGAGGAATAAAAAACTTAAGGAAGACAGGGATGGCCTAGGCGGCCAGGTAGGAGACAGACGTGTGTTCAAATTTTGGCAATGTGATTTACTAAACTGGGCTTGTTGAGGAAAGTTTTTGACTTTTTGATGTTTGGCAGAAGCCCAGTGGGGAGTGGGGGGCAATCAAAAGTGGCTTCTTCACACAAATTACCTAGTGGAATCAGTCTACATGTGAGTTAGTGGCAGAAACGGGGCTCAGCGCCTGGGAAGGGGCAATGCCTGGGAAGGCAGCAATCAGAGTTCCAGCGCAGCTGCTGCGGTGTGACAGTGGGCCAGCCTATGTTTCCTCACCTCAAAAACGAGGGAGTTGGACTGTGTAGTGGTCCCCAGACATTTGGATATCGTGACCTGTAAACCACCGCACTCACACATCCATCCCCATTTTCGTTGCCGCCCTAGTTACCAGTTTCTACTTTTACCTGGAGAAGAGAAAAAGTATATTCCTCACTATGACCATTCCTTACCTGTTTGGTGTCCATTGCTGCTTTACACCCTTGGAGTTCTCTTGAAGCCTGTGCCACCTGCTTATGCCAGTCTTTCCGCCCCTGATTGCTGTTGTGTACAGATCTTCTAGTTCGCTGTATTCATATGCCCACCCCAACCACATTCTCTTGGTTCCTGGGCTCCTTACTCTAGCATACTCTGGTCCACTTTACCTCAGCCTCCTTGCATGTTCACACCCTGAGCTTCATCATCACAGGAAATCTCTCCTTTGGCACATTTATTCAAACACCCCTCCCCCCACTCCCAGCCTCCATACTACTTTCGCTTCTTTGAGTTATCCACTGCGTTCTCAGTATCCAGCAGCCTCTGTCCTCCCAGCTTCACTTGGCTCTTTAGCCAACCCAGATTCCGCAGTCCATCATTAAAATCCATCCCTCACAGTTAGCTTTTTCTCGCCTTTCTCTGAACTTGCCTGGCTCAGCTCCAGCCCTGGTGACACTGTCATCTGCTTCTGCTCAGAGGAAGACTCTCACAAGGGAGCTGACTGGTCTCACTTTCAGTGGTGGATCATGAGCCCCAGCAGTCAGGCCATGTCTCTCTAGTAGGCTCTGTTCCTACCTATCCCTCCCCCCCTCACTCCCATTCCTCCATCCTTGCTCCCAGCTGGTGGCCTTGCTCATGTTTCATGGAGTTGACGGATGCCCCCAGACACATACTTCATCATCTTCCCACCAAACCTCCCACTCTTTCTCTGTGTGCACCATCTTCTTCCTTCTGCTACAGAGAGAAGGGTTATCTCCTCTTGTCAGCTTGTCCGTCCAGTGGTATGTCGGATCCTATCGTATCCCACCTGCCCCAGGACTTTGAGTCTTCAGTTATCCACTCTTCCTCCCTCCTGGTTTATTCCCATCACCATACAAACAGCTTTTGTCTTGTCTGGATTTATTTCATTTTTTAAAAGTAAAGGATTAAGCCTCCCCTCCTGTGCCTGACCTCTCTCTGAGTGCCGGCCTCCTCTCCCTGGTGTTACTGCTCAGGCTCGTGGACTTAATACTACCTTTATGCTGGGGGCTCCCAAATTTTTAACCCTAGCCCTGACCTCTCTTCTGAGTTCCAACTGCTTACTTGACACCCCCACTTCCTTATTTCCTGGCACTTCTTATTTATTTCTAAACAGGGCTTGTCATCTTTCCCCCACACCCAAGCCTGCCCCATTCCCTACCACCAGCCACCTAGAATCATTCTTGTTGCATCTCCTTCCCTCTCACGACCCCCTCCCTCAGTTGTACCTGCATCTCCATGTCACAGCTCTCACCCTCTCTTGCCTGGCCTACTGCTGCTACACTGGGCCACTCCAGTTGGTTCTCTGTGTGTATGATCTTTAAATGGGAATAAGATCATTTTATTTCCTTGCCTAAAATCCCTTGGCTGGGTTCCTGATGTCCTTACAAAAACAAAAACCTGTTGCCATCGAGTCAATTCCGACTCATAGCAACCCTATAAGACAGAGTAGAACTGCCCCCTAGCGTTTCCAAGGAGCGGCTGGTAGATTCAAACTGCTGACCTTTTGGTTAGCAGACGAGCTCTTAACCACTATGCCACCAGGGCTCTGATGTCCTTAGAATAAACTCCAAACTCTTTTGCAGAGCCGATGAGGCCCAACATGTTCTGGCCCTGGTTTATTTCTCCAACCTCATTTCCTGTGACTCAGTTAAGAGGCACTAGTGTGTGGTGGCATAGTGGTTAAGCACTCGGCTGCTAACCAAAAGGTCAGCTGTTCAAACTCACCAGCTGCTCTGTGGGAGAAGGATGTGGCAGTCTGCTTCCGTAAAGATTTACAGCCTTGGAAACCCTATGGGGCAGTTCTACTCTGTCCTGTAGGGTTGCTATGAGTCAGAATCCACTTGATGGCAATGGATTTGGTTTGGTTTAGGGTGTGGTGAGAGGCAATAACACGTATGTTTCTAACCAGTGTGCATTAAAATGAAATACAGTGTTAAAAACACAATTTTAAGAAAATGATTTCACTGACAAGACAGCAACAGAGCTTGTATTGTCAGTTTCTATTTCTGAAGATTCGTACTTTAACGTGGATGAGACAGGTGTATATTGATGAGAAAATGCCAGACAGGATGTACCTTATAATGAAAAAGGGAATTATGCCTGGTTTTAAAGCAGCTAAGACCCCTGTGACTGCATTTTCCTCTCAGAAACAGCTTAATTAAGCAGAGTTTTATTTCTTCACTTCCATTGCATTATTTTGCCTGTGATAAATTAGTTAATTTCTTTGTTAACAGTTGTAGCATCTGTAGTAGACTTCTTTCAGAAGGTTGTCATTTCAGCGGCTGATATGGCATAGAAAGGCAGTGATGGTACTGGGCCTTTCCGTGTATGCAAAATTCTTAATTGCAGGAGGTTTAGGTGTACAGTTCCACGACCAGCAGCATGATGCCACTGAACAGTACCATAGGAGGCATTGTGGTTGCTTGCCTCCTGGAATTTATTTATTTTCGAGGAAAGAGTTCTCTTTATTTAGAGTTCTTATTGCAAGTAATTTTTCATATGTCATGTTTTCTTGTCTCTTGGCAGGAATTTACTCTTGAGATACTTAGATTGGTAAAGTGGTGGAATCCAGACATAAGTTTGGAAATATTTCAGTGAAGAAATATGCCTGAGCCTTGCCAGAACATCATTTTTGGAGTTCATGCCATAAAACCCTACTAAAGGCAATATCGTGCTAGAATGAGGAGGCCCTTCTGATAGATCTAGTCTCTCAAACCCTGGGATTCCGTCTGTAACTCTCTGTGATCCTACTCACTCTGCCCCATCAGCACAGTAATTGCCAGCATTTATTGGCATGTTTATTATCAGCACGTGCCAGGCCCTGAGCAAGTGCTTTACCTGCATTCGCTCACTGAATCATCGAAATATCCTTCAAGGTAGATGCGGACAGCTATCCCTGGCTTACTGATGAGAATCTGAGGATAAGCAGCTTACCCAAGGCCACACAGCTAGCAAGTAGCAGAGCTGGGATTTGAATTCAGCTCAGTCGGACTCCAAGCCTATTCTCTTAACTTTACACTACTATACTGACATTTCTCAAGCCATTTACTCCACTTTGGAGTAAGTGTATTATTTTTAAATTCTCTTCTTGAACAGCTCAGCCACTGAAAACGTCACTGCGGGAAAAAATGGTGCTTTCTACTTGTGCTTCCTGCTTGTATGCCATTAAGACAGGACAGAAAATCAGTTGCAGGAGACCTTTGGTCAGGCATCTTCTTATGACGAGGAATAGCCAGAACAGCCCTTTGGTTATTCCCCTTGGCTGAAGCTTAGCTGTGACATTGTTTCTCCACTTGCGTTTTAGACATACAAGGCTCTAACTTGAAACCCCAGGGAATAAGAGAATTTCAGTCATCATTTGAGAAGTACACAAATAATAGTTGCCCCGTCAGCTCCTAGAGTTGGCGGAGACTCAGGAGCCCCTTGTGCTTGCCCGTACTACAGGCCTTCATGCCCCGAGGACTGGCAGACAAAAGAGGACCTGAGGAATGTGATGCCGTAGCTCTTTTAAGTCTCATCAATTCCTGCGATCACTTCATTGTTGATCGAAAGAAAGTCACAGAGGTAAGAGCTGCCAGAAGAAAAACCGTCTAATGAGAGTCAGTCCCTGGGGGGCATAAATGATTAAGCACTCAGCTGCTAACCGAAAGGTTGGAGGTTCTAGGCCACCCTGAGGCACCTTAGAAGAAAAGCCTGGTGATCTACTTCCAAAAGACCACAGCCATTGAAAACCCTGTGGAGCATAGTTCTACTCTGACACACACGGGGTCGCTGTGAGTCGGGATTAACTTGACAGCAACTGTTGTTTTTTTCTTTTAAAGAGTCAGTCAGGTAGGGATTGAAGCAACACACGCTCTGTGATGCTAAGATCGCCATGCAAAAGTAGTACACAGTATCTCCCCGAAACAGTGGTGTGCAAAGGAAGTTAAACTCTGGTTCAAGGTTGGCATCACTAAACTGGCGAGTGGGGTGCATACCATGTGCACGTTCAGTGATGTCCAAGGACCTCTGACCTCAGTGCGAGTACAGTCAAGAGAGTACCCTTTAGTTCTTCCTAATTGCAATTCCCTGACAACTCGTTATTGTGTCGTTTGCCACGAAAATATAGGAACCACCAGTTTCACTTCCCTGTTCTGCCACAAACAGAAGCCAAGGTAATTTTCCTAATTAAAAAGAAACAAAATATGGAGCAATATGTCATTCTGTCAGTTATATGCTAGCATTTGAATCCTGCCCCTCTAAATGTTATCAGCTAAACGGTTGCAAGACCAAATTACATAGAACTGAAGAAAAGATAAACACTTATGAATAAACCATGTCCGAATAGACTGCTGTGCTTGTCAGATTTCCTCTGGGCGATTGAGACTCTGTTTCACCAGACAGTAAGTCTTGCACATGTATTACTCTGCGGGTCATTAGAAAGAGTGTATAGCACACCTGGATTATTTGTACGATGTAGAGACAGTGTATGTATATTTTGCCAGCATGCTAGCCACTGAGAAGGAGCTCTGGTGGCACAGTAATTAAGTGCTCGGTTGCTAACCGAAGGATCAGCAGTTCGAACCACTAGCAGCTCTGCAGGAGAAAGATGTGGCAATCTACTTCCGTAAGGATTACAGCCTTGTTAACCCTGTGGGGCATTTCTGTCTTGTCCTATAGGATTACTGTGAATTGGAATCGACTCAGTGGGCTTGGTTTTGGGTTTGCCAGCCACTGAAAGGACTGAGAATCCTTTTAAATCCTTTTAAATTTTGGCAAAAGTTGATTTTCTTTTCATCATAGTTTCCGTATCAAAAAACTCCTTTGGCCCAACTTCCTGGACCCACCAATATTTTTGCATTGCTGCCTCAGTCTGTGGGTATACTGAAAGCGAATACTCTTTGCTCTTTGACAAGTTGTTTCAGGCTAAGGGATTGGGGGTAAGTGTAAGTGATAGCCAGCCGGTCACGAGATTTCAAGGGCTAAGGATAGGTATAGGTGTGTTTATATTTCTAACTCTGATTCAGTTATTCAAGCAGCAGGGATTTGAACATCCCCTTGCACCTTAACAGCACCTACAAGCAGCCAGGTGGTCATCTCAAGAGCTTCTGGGTGCTTGGGAATCTGTGCCAGGGGCTTACGAAGGGGAAAATGTTGTACCTCTGTTGCTCTGGAATCCTGTGGCCAAAATCTGGCTTATGGTTATGTTTTTATCTGTCATGCCTAATTTTGTTTTTCATTTTCAAAAATCTGAATTTTCAGTTACTCTTGAAAAATCAAGAGGTCTGGCAACATTGGGCTCATATAGCTCCCATGGCAACAAGCCCTGAATGAATAGCAGCTGCCCCTTTAGGTAGGACATCCACTCTCCAGGTTTCCCAATCCCACCACCATGCTTTACTATCTCTCTTGAAGAACCTTGAAGGCATTTCAGTTAGTGGTTCAAGGAGGACTTCACTTGTTAGTATATATGCCCTCAGGACAAGACGAAGTTAAATATGAATCTGACTTGGGGGCTGGAATCCTCAACCCTGGTACAAGTACAAGGAGCCCTGGTGGCACAGTGGTTAAAGCACTTGGCTGTGAACCAAAAGGTGGGCAGTTTGAACCCACTAGCTGATCCTCAGGAGAAAGATGCAGCAATCTGCTTCCATAAAGATTACAGCCTTGGAAACCCTATGGGGCAGTGCTGCTCTGTTCTATAGGGTCGCTGTGAGTTGGAATCGACTCGACAGCAGCGGGTTTGGTTTTTTTGGGTTGGTGCAAGTACACGCCAGATGATACACATGATCCCGAGAAGGTTCTAGCCGTTCTCCTCTGGGGATCACACTTGTGGATTTTGTAGTCAACAGAGCCTTTCTGAAATGTTTCTTTAGACCCACAAAATCTCAGTCTATATCATTGTTTGACTTTGAAGGCTTTTATCCTTTTGTCTTTCTGTAGGTGATTAAGTGTCGTAATGAGATCATGCACTCTTCAGAGATGAAAGTATCTTCTGCGTGGCTTCGAGATTTTCAGATGAAGATCCAGAATTTTCTGAATGAATTCAGGAATATCCCAGAGATTGTGGCGGTATACTCTAGAATAGAACAGGTAAAAATCATATTTAACAGTATTGGCATACAGAACTAAACGGGGAAGAAAACACAGTGACTCATTTAAAATTTGAAGTTTATTAGATCTAAACTAAATTTTAGGTATAAGTAGGAGAAAGAATGCACCCACCTTGCTGACATGAAGTCTAGAATTTTGCTGGGCTGAGGAGCGATCACAGGATGGTATTAAATGGATCCAGTTAATGATGTTTCCTTGTAAATTCTTTGAGTAGTGCACTGGACTAAGTTTTCCATTAAATCAGCTCGTATATTTGTTTGATAATCTAACAGCTGTTGACATCTGACTGGGCTGTTCATATTCCTGAGGAAGATCAACGAGATGGGTGTGAATATGAAGCAGGAATTTACCTGAGTGAAAGCCAAGTAAATGAAATAGAAATGGAATTACTAAAGGAAAAACTTCAAGAGATTTATCTTCAAGCAGAAGAGCAAGAGGTGTTGCCTGAAGAGGTAAAAAAAAAAAAAAAGTATTACAACCACTTTGTGAGTAAACAAATAAAGAAAGGGGCTAGGGAGGAAGAGTAGTTTGTTTTGACATATAGTCAGTTACTATGTTTCTCATTTATAAGTTAAATAATTTCCAGAACTGGTTATTCTTCTAGCACAGAGTAATATTACATTTTAACAAATACGATCAGCCAACATTTGTGTGCCTACTTTGTGCCACAAAGTGGAAACATGATGAGGGCTGACCTAGCTCTGAACAAAGAATTCTGAAGAAAGTGCAGGTCAAGGGGATTGTAGAAAAGGCTTTGCGGAGAGAATGCTGTTGAGCTGGGACTTGGAAAATCAAGTAAGAGTTTGGCACATTGGCAAAGGAAGAAGAACGGTGCTCTTGGCAGAAGGAACAGCACTTGCAAAGGCCTGAAAGAATAGTTTGGGCCTGGGGAACGACAGAACGAGCATAGGAGACACGGTCAGGTCTGAGGGTGGTGAAGTAGCCATATTTTGAAAGGTTTCCTATGCCATGCCAAGTGTTTTTTTTTTTTTTTTTTATTTCCAAAAAGCAGTAGGGGGAAGCAAGAGAGCATGAGATGATCAGACATGGCTTTTAGAAAGTAAACTGTTACGGCAGGTGGTGGTTGGACTGATGTGGATCAAGACTAGCCAGGAGGCTCTTGCAGTCATGTGAGGGTGAGAGGAAGAAGGTATGAACTCGAAGCTGTGGAAGAGGAGCCAGATTCTGGAGGCTTTTCTGGGCAGAGCACATGGATCTTAGTGATGGGTTAGATTCCTTGAGACATGGGATGGGGCTGGGGGAGGTTGGAGAAGGAGGGGGCTAAAGGATCATCAGGGAGTCTAGCTTAGGACAAGGGAGGCTATTGATGGTCTATATTCTGATGAGGAATATAGAACGAATGCCATTTATTATGTGCAAGGTATAAAAGATACAGTAGTGAAATTGTAAGGTTCAGAAATAGTCCAGCACTGGCTGGATTCGGATTCTAGATCGCCAGGAGATCTTGGAAAAATCATTTCATCTCTGCATTCCTCCTTGTCCTAGGAAAGTAGTTTTGCTGGTTACCGCGTTAAACACGGGAAGAGTCTTCATTTAATATAAAATGTGTATGCCATTTGTAAGCCATACTCCTTAGTGGTAAATATGCCTGTATAACTGTTCTGATCATCTTCAGTGCCTTATTCAGCTTGGGGAACTTCTTTAGCACAGGGACTGGAGACTTCTGGTTTTTGGGTGCACCTGCCCGGGCACACCATGGGCATTTAAAACAATGAGTAAGAGTGTGGGCTGTTTGTTCAATCTTCCATTTTGTAAAGACATGTGCTCCATCTTGCTTTATTTGAAAATGACTTTAGAACCAGCGCCAGTTTTCTTCCTGTTGCCTTTTTCAGAACAGAGTAGAGCAAGAGAAGATGACTCTGGGATCAGGCTCACTGCCTCTAACTCCTCATAGTTCTCTCTTCTTTCTTGAGGGAATGGCAGTTCTTTTCCTGTTTGTGTGGGAAAGAGCAAATTCTATCAGTAGCAACATACTGAAGCCAGGAATCTGTATAGTTGAGAGCTGGTGGGAAACCTTGCAATCATCTGATCACACCCTATGCTTTACATGTGAGGCAGTGGCCTCAAGGAACAGGCCCTGACGGGTGCAAGGCTATGTGGCTGGGTATGAGGCTGGCCCAGAGGTCTCCCCGCTCTGGTCCTATGCCTTCTCGCAGGCAGCGTGCAGATTCTGTAGCACCAAGGAGCTGGCAAATGTAAGTTTTGAACCCTAATTATCTCTGTTTTACAGAGAGGAAATAGGGGTTAATCGGCTTGTCCTCTGGGTCACCACGTCTTTGGATGGAGTTGATAAATTCTCATGCTTCATGCTTTCTGTTCAGTAGAACATGGCATTTCTCTTAATGTTTCAATTGATCAAATGTAACTTAGGGTGGATTGGCATGTATCTCTAAGATGTTAAAGGTTGGCTTTCCAGGGTGTGGACCTAGATCTCTTTTGAAAGTTCAGTGCCATATATAATCCATGTTCTTTAGGGTTAGTGTCCAAAGTTAGAGGATTCAATAAGACCAAATTTCAGTGTCATCAATTGTAAGACATATCATTAGTTCAGTGACTTCTAAGAAAGGGGGGAAAATGTTGTCAGTTAATTGTAAGATGCTGTCAATAGTAAGGTGCATTCGTACCTGAGATGTTAAAATATGGAAAAAAATGTGCATCTGGGAATCAAGAGATACAGTGGTTGTATTACGGTTATGGGACTTTTTCTGTGACTGTTTAACAAGGTGTGTTTCTGTTTTTTATTATAACAGTAGGGGTAGGGTTGGAAGGCTAAGTTGAAAAAAGGGTTAATGGAGGTGATCTGGCGTGACAGTTCCAGCAAACACCACGGAGCATGGGAAGGGTGGACCGCAAGACTCCCCCAGGAGTGCCAAGGAGCGTGTGGCAGAGAGAGTTCATCATTTCCATTCTTTTCTGTTAGTTTGATGAGCCTTAATGGTATATACAACTATTTTTAAAAATTATTAAAATACATTGTGCATGAATAACTGATTGTAAAACGCTTTCCGCTCTGGAGCCAAATTGGAGCAGCAGCTGCTCAGGCCCCTCGGGCACCCAGGCACACCGTGGAGTGTGTGTCCACTAGGGCCCATCTACAGCAGAATCCAGCTTCTACCCAGTAGCCTTTCATACAGTCCGCCAGCCCTTGGTGTTCTGTTAGGATCTTGGGGTTTAAAAATCCAGCTGAAGAACATTGAGGGCAGTAAAAGCCTTAAAAACATAATTTGCATATTCTTTAAAATCATTACTGGTTTCTTAGACCCTGGTGAGGGAACCCCCTTCACAGAGATCCATGGGGAAGTGCTGTGAGAAGGGGCAGTGACAGAGTATACTCGAAGCAGTAGGGGATAGTTTATCTGTTATAGCCCAGAAATAGTTACTGAGTGCCCACTGTGTACCAGGCACAGTTCTAGAAGCTTGGTGTACATCAGCAATGGAAGCAGACAAAGATCCCTGCAGGTGGAGACAGACAATAAACAATAAGCACAATAATTATGTGGTTAGAAGGAGAACTACGGTGTAGAGCAGAGTGGGGGGTGGTCAGGAGTGGCAGAGTGGGGACGAGTAGCAGGTTGTGTAGGATGGTCAGGGTGACATCACTGAGAGGATGCAACTTAGTGATACCTTAAAGGAGGGAGAATCAGCCCTCGGCATATCTGGCGGAAGAGCCTTCAGACAGAGGGAACAGCAAGCCGAGCAGTGGGGCCAGAGCAGAGTGAGGGAAAGAATACTGGACAGGAAGGTCAGGGAGGTGCAAAGGGAGGAGGGAGCAGGTCACATTGGGCCTAGTGAGCCATTGGAAGGACCTCAGCTTCTACTTGGAGTGAGACGGGAACCTTTGCAGAGTTCTGAGCAGAGGAATGATAAACGGAGCACAAGCTGCTGGGTTGAGGACGCCTGGGTGGCAGGGGTGGGGAGGGGCAGAGACAGATGCAGGGAAGCTGCTGCAGTAGTCCAGGCAGAGATGACGGCGAGCTAGACCAGGTGGTGAGAAGGTGGATGGATGTGGCATGTGAGAGAAGGAGAGGCATCAAAGACCATGCCAAGAGTTTTGGCTTAAGTGATGGGAAGGATGGAGTTGCCAAGCACCTTTGGCTGGAAGAGTGCCCGGTACATGGTAGTCTCAATAAACATTTGTTACATGAGTGAAGGGAGGCAAGAATATACTAGACACAATGCTAACTGCTTTTAGTTTATTATTTCTAATCCTCACTATGCCACCAGGGTTTCCATTCAATCCATAGCACTATTAAAACAGGAAAACCTATCAGCATTAAAACTGCATTCCACCTCTAAAACCAGATCCTACAAAGAGACTTGTCACTTGGGCAAAATGCCACAAGTACCGGGTTAGTTACTGCAGCATGGTTTGTCTTAGCAGAAAGTTTGAAATAATATGTTAAAATGTGGAACATCCACAACTGAAATACTATGTAGCCATTTAAAAAAAAAAAAACGAGGCCACTGTTTATGTTCTGATATAGAAAAGATCTTCAGCATCTAAGCAAGTGGAAGAACAGTGTCTCCATTTGTGTTTTTCAAAATGTGTATACCTATATACACATGTGCTCACATGTAAATGCAGAGAGTATCTGGAAAATACACAAGAAACTGTTCATCATAGTTGCCTCTGGGGAGAGGAGCTGGGTTACTGGGACAGGGTTGGGAAGAGGACTTACTTGTTAACCATGTACCCTTGTGTTCATTTTGAATTTTGTACCATGTATATTTATTATCCTTTTATATGTGTGTACCACGTATATTTATTATCCTTTTATATGTGTATGTGTGTGTAAAAATTTAAAAATAAATAAAGCACTTTCTTCATAGTGCAGGAAGTTTTAAAGCAACAGTATATACACAAGCAAACGCCCCACTGTGTGGTCCCAGAACTAGGATTGTTTTGTTTTGTGTTTTGTTTTTTTTTTTAACGCTTGTCTGTGGGCAGCTGCCAGTAGGCAAAGTTTCTGTCTCCCTTGCTGGACGCATGAGCAGGAGCCAGTCTTGGAGCTAATAAGTTTTTCACTGAATTACAAATCTACTAGAAAATGATCTCAGCCGTACATTGTATGGTTTCCTTCTTGCAGACTTCGACAAGACTGGAAATGGTGAAGGAATTTCTGAGAAACAATGAAGATCTTAGAAATAGTCTTACAGAAGAGATGCAGAAGCTAGACAGCCTCCACCTCCAGCATCAGAAACGGGACTCAAAGGAGCCTAGTGGGGAGATGCCTAAAGAGAGGGCCTGAGGTAAGTTTAGGCATATGATTTTAATAAGGACAGAATAGTCTCATCCCTTATATGAACACACAACTTTTTCTAATCCGAGGTTTCCTTATGCGTTTGTGGTTTGAAAGAAAGGACACTGAGCCCCGGGTGCTGTTTCCAGCGAATGGTTCTTACGTCTCTGCAGTAATTCAGTATAACAAATTCCCTGTCAACTTCGTTTAGGCAAATGCACCTGAAGTCATTGGTCCTGTCTTAAGTGAATCAACTTTATAACAGAGGCAAAAATCGTATCAGCCCTAAAGTATAATTGACCAGTGATGCCTAGCTCTTAGCTGAGGCATTAATGTTGTTGTGTTGTTAGGTGCTGTCAAGTCAGTTCTGACTCGCAGCTACCCTGTATACAACAGAACGAAACATTACCCGGTCCTGCACCATCCTCATGATCATTGCTACGTTTGAGCCTATCATTGCAGCCACTGTGTCAGTCCATCTCATTGAGAGTCTCCCTCTTTTTCACTGACCCTCTGCTTTACCAAGCATGATGTCTGTCTCCAGGGACTGGTTCCTCCTGATAACATGTCCAAAGAATGAGACGAAGTCTCGACGTCCTTGCTTCTGATGAGCATTCTGGCTGTACTTCTTTCAAGACAGATTCGTTCGTTCTTCTGGCAGTCCACGGTGTATATTCAGTATACTTCGCCAACACCATAATTCAAAGGCATCAACTCTCCTTCGATCTTTGTTCATTGTCCAGTATTAATAGCATTAATAGCAACTGGTTAATTCTCATAGGAAAACTTTTTAAAATAAGTAACTGTCTTTAGCACTTTACTGTTTTTCGTCAAATAAAGAAAATTAAAATATCTTCTTTCATTTTAGGTTGTCGTTTGACAAAAAATCAGGCATGTTCTGTGACAGCCAGCACAGCTTCCATCTCAGCCATCCTTTCCTGGGCCAGAGGAAAAACGTACGAGAGTATTCACACAAACAGTCTTTCCCTGGACTTTCCTTTGGTGCTTTGGGAGTGTTTGTTTTAAAATATTTATAAGCTTGGAGTTGTATAATCTACACTGATTAAAAAAAAAAGTATTAGATACTCTTGGGCCAAAACTTGCTACTATCCAGGAATTTTTTTTTTTCTATTTAAAAGATGAGATTTTTTTTTTTATTGTGGTAAATTTATATAAGGAGCCTTGGTGGCACAGTGGTTAAGCACTCGGCTGCTAACTGAAAGGTCAGCGGTTCAAACCCACCAGCTGCTCCGTGGGAGAAAGATGTGGCAGTCTGCTTCCGTAAAGATTACAGCCTTGGAAACCCTGTGGGGCAGTTCTACTCTATCCTATAGGGTTGCTATGAGTCGGAATCAACTAGATGGCAGAGGTTTGGTAAATTTATATATAACAAAACATTTGCCATTTCTTAAGTGTACAATTCAGTGACATAAAAGGTGAGATTTTTTTCTGGTCCTAAACTAGTCGCTTACCATAGTAAAGGCTGTGTTTGGCCAGTCCTGTGCTGAGGCAGAGCAGCCTTCCCCCAACCCCTCCCCATTCTACTACTTCCACGTGCATACTTCTGTAGAAGAGATTGCCGCAGGGGTGCGCACGAGAGGAGGCTCACAGCAGCGTGGTTAAGCAGCCATCAGGAGGAGACTGGTTAAACAGATAAAGCACATCCTCACTGCAGAACAGTATGCAGCTGTTAAAAAGAATGAGGCAATGCTACAGTGCAGTAATATGGAATGATCTCTGAGATACAAGAAGTAGAAAAACAAAATGCTTAATAATGCATAGCATACTGTAATGATATTTATATTTTTAAATAACAGGTCTGGAAAGTTGCATGCTTTTCCCAAGTTTTTTTGCTTTGTTACCTCTGGGAAAGGAAGTAGACGAGGGGGTGTGGGGGGCGGGGGGCGGGCAGGGGTTGGTTAGAAGGAACTTGCTTTTCTAGTTTATATATACCCATATGAAATTTTTACCACAAACATGCACTCTTGTATTTTGAAATTTTTTAATTAAAATTTTTAATTTCAAAATAATAGACATGAACAATAAAATTCAAACTTGCAAGACTTATGTGTCACATTTCCTGGACTGTGTTATAGCCTCCTCTCTTGGGGTCAACTCCAGCTCCTGGGGCACTTGTGAATCACAGGGTCATGAGAAGTAGCCCAGTAAGTGGGTTCCTTTCCACATAGGGCTGTCTTCGTTTCATCTTGGACTGCCTTGTCTTCAGCCAGCAATGTGATTTGCTCTTAGCCATTCCCTGGCACACCATATGTGGTTCATAGTTTTGAAAGACTCAGGAGAAAATTTGTTTTAGCATTATAGTTGCAAAGATAAGGCAGTTCTTTGTATTTTAGCCTGTTCTTTACCAGGAAGACATTACATATTAAACTCAGTATAAAACACCTGAATTCTGGGAAATAGCTAGTATGTGTCGGTGACGAAAACGTCTGGGAAAATAACTCTGCCAGTTTGGAAAATGTCATTGGATTCATAAAGTAGTGATCGAGATCTGTAGATAGTTTAAGTTAAATTGTCAAGGTCAGAAGGAGTTGGTTACATTTGAATTTTGAAGATTTTGAAATGATTGTTACCCTAATGATTTGAAAGATCTTGCTTTTAAAGTATCACTTATATGGCTTTAAGCACTAATATTCTAGGCAACAAAGGGTTAGATCTTAATAGAGTGGGCACTGCATTAGGGTGGAAATGTTGTACCCTTTTGGATATTTTCTCTGATCATTTTGCCCTCTAAATTATAAATGTAGAGTGATAGGAAGTTATCAGCAGAGATTACCCTTCTTTCCCTTACCAAACTAATTAAAAACCTACCTGTTAGACAGTGACCGTTTATTGAAATATACTCAAATTACAGAATACATCTTGTAAGATAAACTTAAGAATATATTAATTTCTTCATGTGTAATACTCAGTGAAGTCAAAGAATGTTCTTTAAATGTTTCAATAAAATACGATTTCAGAACTTTAAAAATGGTTTTTAGAGAGACATAACTTTAAATGCTTGTATTACTTTAAAAAGAATAGGAGAAAATAAAAGAAGTGTAGATCTTAAGATCTTGGTTAGAAAAATAAAAGGAAGGAAATAATAAAGATGAAAGCCGCAATAAATATATTAGAAACCGTTAAAAATCAGAAGAATATAAACAAGAGTTGGCTCGTTGAAGAGTCTAATAAAGGAGACAAATCTCAGGCAAACTTAATTTTTAAAAAAGAGCAAAAACTGTAAACAAGAAAATCGGAATAGGAAAAGAACAAGCATAAAAACCACAGTTAAAAATATTGAAAATATTAAAGAAAATTTTAGGCTACTGATAAATAATAAAAATATTTCATTTAATTAATGATTCTTTATTTTACCTAACAAGCACTACTGGCCACATTTTAAGACTAAAACAACTGAGGCGCAAGGAATTTAAGTTCAAACGCTTGAAGTGTTAGAGACAAAGTATGAGCCCAGGTCTTACTTTGACACCATAGCTCTGATGTTTTCCCTACACCACATTGTCTGAGAGGCCTCACAGTCTAGAACCTTAACATCAAACGTCAGAATCCTATCTTTTTGCCAACACATCTTTGCCACCTGACGTGTCTGTCTATCTCAGGGAAGGATACAGCTGTATGTCCTGCTGCCCAAGGCAGACTTCCGGAGGTTATGTTACTTAGTCCACCATTTCCCTCAACTACTGCTTGCAACAGCTACAATTTGTTTTCATTTCCGTGCCTTCATTCCGTTCCTGTAGCCTCAGGCCTGCTCATGTTCTCTGTGGATTGTTGCATGTGACCCCTAACTCTTCTCCCTTCTTTTAGTCCTGTCCACTCGTATCTCCTCAGTGGGACCTGCTTTGAAGTCTCTTCATACCCCAGGGTGGTGCAAAGGGTTAATACTCTTGGCTGCTAACCAAAACATTTGAGTTTTGAGTTCACCCAGAGGCCCTTCGAAATATCTGATGAGCTACTTCCAAAAAATCAGCTGCTGAAAACTCTATGGGGGTACTGTTCCACTCTGACAAACATGGAGTTGCCACCAGTCAGAACTGACTCAATGGCAACTGGCATTGGCACTGTTAGACATCAAAATGTTTCTGATAATATTCACCTCATTTCTTTGCACCCATACCTCCAGTCTGTTGAAAGCACTTGGATATTGATCGTGTCACAGGCATATTAATTTCCTCCAAACCTGGCATCATTAGCAAACTTGATGTGCATGCTTTCTGTCATTGTACAGGTCTTTGATAAAAGCGATGAACTACATAGTCATGGCCAAATACGGCGCCCAGAGGAATCACATTAGACATGGACCTCTGTTGATATCGACACATTAATCAACCACCACGTACAACTGTTCAGTCGGCTACAAATCCATTTGTCTCATCTGGACCATATTTATCCATCTTGTTCACAAAGTTATCATGAGATACTTGAAAAAGTCTTCTTAAATTCAAATTACACAGTCTGTAACCTTGTCTTGAAGCTTGGCACAAACTAAGGAGCATGGATTATGAATTAAGAAATCTGGATTTTATTCCCACCTTCCTCTTACTTTCCACCAGGCGATGAATTACCCCAGAGTACAGGAGGTTTCTGCTCATCAACAGAGACCATCAAAAAGAAGCAAGGCCAGTCTTGTATGGGTTAAACTCAACTGTTTTTATATGTAAATTGAGCTCATTTGTAATACTTGAGTGGAATCATACTGTGTTTCCATCAATATTTTTTTCACTTCAAAATGCTCATTCTAAATTTTCAGTTTGAAGATATATCTCCACAAATAAAAAATAAACACCACAAAGCATTTATTTATATCATCTTTGCTAGATGTTCTTTCTTATAAAACAGTCAACCAGTAGAATCCATCCTATGCCTTGTGTGTGGTCCATGAATCCTTATACAGGCTATGACTAATCAAGCAGCTGTCAACATAATCTGACATTTGTTATGCCCTTTTCTGCAATTGCATTATTTTTTTTGTTCAGCTTTATTTTCTGACTGTTCTTTTTAGCATTAAAATGCTGCTATGGCAATTATGAGTCAGAATCAACTCGAGGCAACTAACAATATAGCAATTATAGTTGTTTTTAAATAATAGAAACTGTAACATTGGGAAGAATCATAACTTGATGAAACAGTGTAGGATGAGAGAGAATTAGCCAGAACATTTGGAGGACGAGGGAAGTGTACAATTAAAGGCTAAAGAAAAGTTCGACATGCGAGGAGGTCACATAGTCTAACACTACAGGCAGGTCTAGTACAATAAGAGTGTCATGGATTGAAATGTGTCCCCCCAAAGTATTTGTCAACTTGACTTGGCCATGATTCCCAGTATTGTGTGATTGATTTTCTTATGTGTTGTAAATCCTATCTCTATGATGTTGATGAGATGGGATTAGCAGCAGTTATGTTAATGAGGCAGGACTCAGTCTACAAGATTGGATTGTGTCTTGAGTCAATCTCTTTTGACATACAAGACAGAGAAGCAAGCAGAGACATGAGGACCTCATACCATCAAGAAAGCAGCAGTGCTGGTAAACCAGAGATGCCATCAACCTGAGACCAGAAGAACTAGGTGGTGCCCGGCTACCACCAATGACTGCCCTGACAGGGAACACAACAGAAAGTTCCTGATGGATCAGGAGGAAAGTGTGATGCAGAACTCAAATTCACATAAAAAGACCAGACTTAATGGTCTGACTGAGACTAGAGAAACCCTCAAAGACATGGCCCCCAGACTCTGTTAATCCAGAGCTAAAACCAGTCCCGAAGCCAACTCTTCAGACAAAGATTAAACTAGACTATAAAACATAAAATAATACTCGTGAAGAGTGTGCTTCTTAGTTCAAGCAGATACACAAGACTAAATGGGTGGCTCTTGTCCAGAGGCAGGATGAGAAGGCAGAAAGGGACAAAAGCTGGTTGAATAGACATGGGAAACCAGGGTGGAAAGGCAGAGTGTGCTGTCACATTACAGGGATTGCAACTAGTGTCATATAACAATATGTGTATAAATTTTTGTATGAGAAATTAACTTGAGCTGTAAACTTTCACCTAAACCACAATCAAAAAGAAAAAAAATCTCAAAAAAAAAGAAAGTAGTGCTGGGAGAGGAGCGCGTCCTTTGGACCCAGGGTCCCTGTGCTGAGAAGCTCCTAGTCCAGGGGACGACTGATGACATGGACCTTCTTCCAGAGCTGACAGAGAGAGAAAGCCGTCCCCTTGTGATGACACGCTGAATTTGGACTTGTAGCCTACTAGACCATGAGAGAATAAATTTCTCTTTGTTAAAGCCATTCACTTGTGATATTTCTGTTACAGCAGCACTAGATGACTAAGACAAAGAGTATTATCTCATCAGAACATTATTTCTGCAAGAGGAGATGGACACACCAAAACTATAGAAACCACACATACACATAGGTGGACTAATGCAAAACTTAAGGGGCCTATACTGCGTATATTGTAAGGGAGTTGACAGAATCCAGGGGCTTTACAAGGGAATTAATAAAGAAGGAAAGATGTGGGAATGGGTGTGAGGAAAGGGGTAGCATTTTAACTCAGATGAAATAACACATGCTATGAGTTCACATCAAATGGGGAAGAAGATAAAGAAGATTCCTGATGAGTATCTGTACCCTACACAAATTCAAACAAAATAGAAAAATTAATGTGTATTTTATATATACAGAAAATTAAAAAAATAATTTTTAAAAATTAAAATTAAAAAATTAATGTGTATTATATATTAAAAAATGGTTTTTATTACTGCATTATCACTTGAATTATCTAAAATATTAAGAGCTACCACTATCTTCTAGCGGCTTCTTTCCTGCTTCTGAAACCCATGCTCTGTGATGGTATGTACACATTAGTAATGACCACAAAACTGTAAACTGAGCATTTTGTGGCATATCTTTGCGGAGGTGGACAATGACCTTACATGGTTTATTACTTTCTACTGTATTTCAGAAAGACATGAGAATTCTTATTTCAGAACCATGTGTGGCAGCCAGCCTCCAAGATGGCTCCCAATGATCCCTGCTTCCTGGTATTCCAACCCTTGTATTATTTTCCCACAGTGTATCAGGGTTGGTCTGTGTGACCATTAGAACATAGACTATGGCTTCCATCTTGGGCTCTCTCTCAGACAACTTGCCCTGGGGGAAGCCATGTTGTGAGCAGCCCTGTGGAGAGGCCCATGTGAGAAGGAATTGAGGCCTCCTACAATCAACTGGATAAATGATCTTGGAAGGTGATCCTCCAGGCTGAGAGACCCTGAGGCAGAAGCACTCAGCTAAGCCACTCCAAGATTCCTGACCCTCAGAAATTATGTAGGATAATAAATATTTATTGTTTTAAGCTGTTAAATTTCGGGGTGATTTGTAACATAGCAATAGATAGCTAATACTTTGCCATAGTTTTCTTTCCCCCGTATGCAGAGTATGAAACACAGAGACTCCCTGCAAAGAGGACTTCTGCTCAGATGCCACAGAAGATAAAGGAGACTCTATCAGAGTTCCACTAATGTTGTGCCTGTCTTACCCAACAGCCTTTCAGATACAGTCACGCATCAATTATTGTCCCCCATACGTTCTGTGAAATAGGATGTTATGCGATTCGGATGTTGTGTGAACACCATGTTATATACAGGCAGTCCCCTGGGTTCTGTGCCCAGCCCCACCTGCTGTTCCGCCCACCTGCCTGAGAACTGGGGGGATTGGGATGCACCCTGGAGCCCTGCTGCTCGTTCACTCTGGGTGTTTGAGGTCTTTAAAACCATTAGGGGGAAATAATAAAAGGAGATCTGCTTTCTCTTTAAAAAAAAAAAAAAAAACCTTATGAGACCGCAGATGTGTATGTCGTGGGACATTCATTGCCCAAACACATTATATGGCACATGCCTGTATTGCTTTCAATTCCTTTGCATTTGAAATGTTTATCAAAGGCAGGGTTTAAGCACTCCTAAACACATACATGAGGGGGCAGTGGCAGTTCAGTGGTAGAAATCTTGCTGTCCAGGCATGAGACTGAGAGGGTCAATTCCTGGCCAATGCACCTCATGCGCAGCCTGTCAGTGGAGGCTTGTGTGTTGCTACAATGCTGAATAGGTTTCAGTGGAGCTGTCAAACTAAGATGGACTGGGAGGAAAGGCCTGGTGATCTGCTTCCCAAAATCAGCCAGTGAAAACCCTATGGATTACAATGGCCTGATCTGCAACTCATCATGGGGATGGCGCATGACTAGGCAGTGTTTCATTCTTTGTACGTGGGGTTGTCATGAGTAGGGGGCCAACTCAACAGCAGTAACAACAAACACATACATTGAGATTCCCCAGTACGCCGCTCTGGACCTGCATTCCCCAGAGGAAAAGGCAGGTGAAGATTTTGGATCAAATCCAAGAGGGCAGCCCTCTGCTGCAGAGGTTAAGGGCCTCACACCCACAGCCCCACCCTTTTCTTCCCTCCTCTCATGCTCTCAGGTTTAAGTCAGTAGTAGCACACACAGGATTTCTAGGGGGATACTCTGGACTAATGTGGTTGATCATGGGTCCTCACCCCCAACCCTAGCTCGTGTCCAACACAGGGTGAAAGGTTAACCATTTTTAGGGATGAGGAAAGGAGGAAAGAATTCTGATTTTTATTGTTTTTATTTTCTATTTACCTAGACTCTAGGGCTGACAGCAACCGTCCTTAGAGCTGTGTATCCTGTTTCCAAGGAAGATTCTGTAATTGTTCTCAGTCACAAAGAGATTCTAGGTTCCCTTAATGTACTCCTTAAAAGTCTAAACTGGATTTCACTGAATTTAAACACTTTGAAGTTGTGTGTGTGTGTATACCAAAACAAGTAATAGAAACATGGTCTCAAGAGAACTTTAAAAAACAAAAAACTGAGTTAGTGGATAGTTTGAAGTGTCTTTCCCATTAAAACAGAAAAACAAAAAGTCTTCCTTCCCCATATAAACTAACCCTCAAGTTGCAGGTCCCATGAAGAGGAAGACCAGTTAATCTACCCTCACCTCTAAAAACATTTGATTTCCAGTTCACAAAATAAGCAAGACCCAACAACTTTAGTCGGTGCTATTTTCCATTTTTTTATTAACCAAACGGCAGGTTTAAGTCAGACTCGCACTGTTGTAGAGTCAAAACCAAAGCTTTAACTGTTTTTTTCTGTAGGAGAAATTTAATGCTTGCAAGATTCGATCACTCTCAGTCATATAAGGAAGTCATTTTGGGGACTGAGAAGCAGGGGCGGCAGACGCCTGGCTGGAGCTGGTCGCTGAAGGGTCGTGAGAGTCGGCAGGGGTGGTCATTCCGATGCTACCATAGTGGTACAGTAGGTAGCGGGTCCCCTGAATACTCTGCGCCACCACGTTGGCGCCGTGACACGCCATCAGCAGCAAGTTTCGAGGCTGTACTCGGTAGGCGAAGCGCATGAAAGCCAACGAGTAGAAAACGAGCGCTGTCGTCATGCGGCCGCTGATTATCTCCGGGGACGCCCTCATGTCCTTGAAGGCTGCCAGTGGAAGGCCCCAGTTGGCCACAGGACCCCAGAAGTGCGTGCTAGCCAGGTATTCCCGGAACTCCTTGGTCTGCACGTAGTCCCTCGCCCGCCGCACAAGTGTCGCCACCGCCGCCATGATGGTTGAGCAGTGGGAGCGACAACGGACAACAAGCCCACAATGACGTGGGGGCTCGAGGCGCTTTGAACCCGCGGCCGACCCTGACGCGGCCTGCGCCAGCAGCCGCCCGCGTTCTGATGGCCGTACAGTGCGCAGGGCAACACGTGCCGCTGTCGCGTTGGGGGCCGGACGGCGGCCTCGTGCCTTCACCAGACTGCCGTAAAGTGCATCGAGCTGCGTGTGGCCGCTTGGAAGACCTTGAAGCCCTCAGGGGCCCGTGGGCCATCGAGGGCGGTGAGGGTCAGGCTGTTTCCCATCCTTTCTATTTTTGAGCTGTGCAGTGGGATACTTAGCTTGTTCTGTCCAGTCTGTGGACGCTGTTGACTAGATGTTGATAAAAAAAATTCCTCGGTTACAGAATTTAAGTCCTTACAAAATTTGCCTTGGTGTTACTTGCAAACATAGTGACATTTCACCCCTAAAAAGTTAAGCATCTGTCTCTTAAGAACAAGGACAGTCTCCTACTTAACCACAATACAACAATCCACTCAGATAATTAACATTTAGCACAATAGTACTATTATCTAATATGCAGTGCACTTTAATTTTATAGCTTTTTGTGACTTTTTTCTGTTGAAGGTGGGAGATCCAGGATCCAATGAAGGCTCACATTTAGCTATCATCTCCTTCAGGTTAAAGGTCCCTGCGTGGTGCAAATGGTTTGCACTCAGCTAGTTGCCAAAAGGTGGTCAGTTGATGCGTGGAGGAAAGAAAGGCCTGGCAATCAGCTTCCATAAAGATTACAGCCATGAGTAAGAATCGACTGGAGGGCACAAGACAACAACAATCCTATTAATCTCCTTTAATCTAGATCAGTTCCCCAGTTTATTTTGTCTTTCGTGGCATTGACGTTTTTGAAGAGTCCGAGCCAGTGGTTGTGCAGAATGCCCTTTATTTGGATTTATCTGTTTTCTCATGATCAGATTTAGGTTAAACATTTTTGGCAAATATACAACACAGGTGATGTTGTGTTCTTAGTGAATCACATTGCGAGGCACATGTGTTTCTTGGTTCCATATCCACCAATATCACTGGTGATACTAAGTTTGATCGCTTGATTAAGGCGTTGTCTGCCAAGTTTCTCCATTGTAAAGGTATCTTTTCCCCTCTGTAATCAATAAATGGAGCCCTGATGGCATAGTGGTTAAGAGCTCGGCTGCTAACCAACAGGTTGACAGTTCAAATCCACCAGCCCCTCCTTAGAAACAAACACTATGGGGCAGTTCTACCCTGTCCTATAGGGTCACTATGAGTAGGAACTGACTTGTCGGCACCCCACAACAACAATCAATAAATAATCTAGGGTGAGCAGCTTTGACAGTGTATGAATATTCTATGTTCCAACAGTCTTTCAGGTAATAATTTTAACATCCGTTAATGAAAATTCTTAATGACAAAACTGATTACTTTCCCAATGTTTTCTATATTTTTTGGTGATGCAACATCACAGTCAAGATACCCTGACAGAACACTAGAATCTGTAATCCTTAGGCAGATATTGCCATTGTCCTAGTAATGTCCTGGATAGCCATTTTGTCTTTCTAGTCTAGGATCCAGTCCAGGATCACAGCTTACCTTTAATTGTTCTCTCTTTAGTCTCCTTTAGTCTTGGAACAGTTCCTCAGCCTTTGTCACTCAGGACCTTGACAATTCAGAAGAGCACAGGCCAGCTCTCTTGTAGACTGTCCTTCAATTGTGGTTCATCTGACATTTCCTCATGACTACCTTCAGAGTATTCATGTTTGAGCAGAGCACCCCAAAAGCGATGTGTCCCCAGTGCAAGGCACATGCTGTCTGTCCGTCTGTAATGTTTAGTGCTCACCAGTTTCTCCACTGAAGTCAGTATTTTTCCCTTTGTAATTAACAACTGGTGAGGAAATACTTCAAGACTATGTAAATATTTAACCTCTTAGTTTTCACATCCATTGACGATTCTTGCCTGAATCAAGTATTATTATACTGGTTGCAATATTTTAGTTTGTAAATGATTTTTTTTTTTTTGTCTTATAGCTTCAAACAGTAAAAGTCAGAAATGTATTTCATTAAATTTGCCCTGGGAAGTGGGGTGCAGAACTCAAATTCTAGTAAAAAGACCAGACTTAATGATTTGACTGAGACGGGAGGGACTCCGGAAGACATGGCCCCCGGACTCTCTGTCAGTCCAAAACTAAAACCATTCCTGAGGCCAACTCTTCAGACAAAGATTAGACTGGACTATGGGACATAAAATGATACTCGTGAAAGGCGTGCTTATCTCAAGTAGATACATGAGACTAAATGGGCAGCTCCTGTCTGGAGGCGAGATGAGAAGGCACAGAGGGTCAGGAGCTGGTTGAATGGACACAGGAAACCCGGAGTGGAAAGGAGGATTGTGCTGTCACAGTATAGGGAGAGCAACTAGGGTCACATAATGGTGTATGTATAAATTTTTGTATGAGAGACTAACTTGAATTGTAAACTTTCACTTAAAGCACAACAATAATTAAAAAAAAAAAATTTGCCCTGGAATGGTGGCCAACATTTGCAAAAACATATGACTTTTCCTGCATTATGGCTGATAATGGAACATTGAGGGTTTGCTATTTTATGAAACTTTTTTTGGGGGGGGGGCATATCCTGTTCTTTGGAATATTTACTCTTACAGTCTACCAAAGGGAAAAAATAGCATTGTGCCTCAACAGAAGCCGGATGAATAAAACAATAGGCTGATATCTTGGCTTTGCTATTTTCAGTTACTGCTGAGAGTAATTTTAGAGCCAACCACGTCCTGATTCTAATCTTTTTGCCTTTTGTTTTCTTCTCGTGTGAATACAGTGACTGAAGGCTGGGTCATTATCCAGCATCTACCAATAGCTATAAAAATGTCAGTTAAGTGTGTTGTACGTCAGTTTCTCTATCTATATATGCCCCTTGTGTTGTAATCTAGTCTGGGTCCCTCACTGCTATACAGTGGCATAAGGGAATCCATGGTGGTATGATCCTCCCTTTCCTTCCTCCCAGTCTTTTGCTTTGTTTCCTTTCTCTGCCTTATTTATATGTACTGAGACCACTGACCCTTCAGGTCAATGGTGAAACAAGCAGAAGGCCACAAAGTTCCTCCACCCACTCTCCTGCCAGGGCCTCATTTGGAGCCCCTAGGGTCGCTAGGAGTCGGAACTGACTCGAAGGCACTTAACAAGAACAAACAACAGATGGTGTAGAAAGAAAACCTATTGCCATGGAGTCAATTTCGACTCATAGCAACCCTATAGGACCGAGTCACTCACTGTTAGCCAAAAGGTCAGTGGTTGGAATCCACCAGCCACTCCACAGGAGAAAGATGTGGCAGTCAGCTTTCGTAAAGATTATAGCCTTGGAAACCCTATGGGGCAGTTCTACTCTGTCCTATAGGGTCGCTATGAGAGAGAATTGACTCCAGAAATGTGTGTTAACTTGCCTAGGCCATGATTCCCAGTATTGAGTGGTTGTCCTCCATTTTGTGATCCAATGTATTTATTTTATGTGTTGCAAATCCTAACCTCTACGATGATAATGAGGCAGGATTAGAGACAGTTATGTTAATGAAGCAAGACTCAGTCTATGGGGATTAGGTTGTATCTTGAGTCAGTCTCTTTTGAGATATAAAAGAGAAGGGAGCAGAGAGGAGAGGGACCTCATACCACCAAGAAGAGCCAGGAGCGGAGAGGAGAGGGACCTCATACCACCAAGAAGAGCCAGGAGCAGAGCACGTCCTTTTTACCCGGGGTCCCTGCACTGAGAAGCTCCTAGACCAGGGGAAGATTGATGACAAGGACTTTCTCCCAGAGCCGAAAGGGAGAGAAAGGCTTCTCCTGGAGCTGGTATCCTGAATTCGGACTTCTCGCCTCCTAAACTGTGAGAGAATAAATTTGTTAAAACCACCCACTTGCGGTATTTCTGTTATAGCAGCACTAGATAGCTAAGACAGTGCCCCACCCAGCACCTACACTGCAGCTGCTGTGAGTATATGCTGCTAACAGCTCTCACCTGCCCCCCTTCACATAGACTTATACTTGGCTACAGGAGCCGCCTTGTCTGGGATGTGATGTCATCTCCCCAGGGGGCAGATCACAGCCAATGCCTGATCCAAACCAACCAAACCAGTTGCCCTGGCGTCAACTCCTACTCATGGCAACCCCACTTGTGTCAGAGCAGAACTGTGCTCCATAGGGTTTTCTTTTTTTTACCCCCTTAGGGTTTTCACTGGCTGATTTTTTTGGCAGTAGGTCACCAGGCCTTTCTTCTGAGGTGCCTCAGGGTAGACTTGAACCTTCAACCTTTCAGTTAGCAGCTGAGAACGGTGCTTTGCACCACCCAGGGACCTCACATGGTCAGGGCATGGAGGTTAGGGGAACCCTCAGATTCTCACCTCCCAGGGGAATCTCAGAAGTGGCCCTGAGGGTACAGCTGGAAAGCCTGTTACCTTTTGTAAATAGCCCTTAAAATCGCCCCAGGGAGCTGGGGTGGGAAAGATAAATGGTCGCCCCATTAGAGGATGGCGCTCAAGCGGCTGCAAAATCCAAACCTGGGAGGTAGGGGGAGGCAAGGGGAAGGGAAAGACCTCCTGTCCCCTGCTGACATCCTGGTCCCACACAGCTGATAGTTCAAAAGGGTTCAGAAATAAAAAGTATAACCAGATGTTTAGTGAAAGGTCCCTCTCCAATTCCTGTCTCCAATTTGCCCAGTCCTCCTCCCCACCTAGGCAGCCACTGTAACCTTCCAGAGATTTCTTAAATGCAGGTACAAGCAAATATGAGTACATACCCCATTCTCCTCCTTTTAACACAATGCATGCTTTATTCCGCATCATGTCCTTAAAAATATATTGGAGATCTTTCCATAGTGAAACATGCAGAGCTTCCTTGCTCTGTTGTCCCAGCTTCATGGTATTCCATAACGTATTTAATCACCCCTATTGAGACATTGGAGCCCTGGTGGTG